ACTCCATACAAATTGCAACTTGATCAATTCTCCTTTATCTTCAAGTCTTGCTTCTCTAGCTTCTGATTGAGGTACTAGCTCAAGCTTGCAAATTTTCAGTTTTCCTCTAAGTTGGTTCAAAGATTTAAGCTCTTCAATTCTCCGACCCTTTTCTCTGCCCACAACAAATAGCGGTAAAGTCTGAAGAGAAGTTAATTTCCCAATGCTACTTGGCACATGCCTTTCATCATCAAAATAAATATGCCTCAAGCTGACTAGATTTTCAATACCACTTGGGAGCTGTTCCAGTGAATTGCAGCCCGTGAATCTTAAAGTCTGCAAATTGTAGAGCTTGGTGACAGATTTTGGTAGCCCTTCAATTGCACTTTCTGATATGTCAAGGTATTTCATGTAATATTTCAATCTGCCAAGAGAAGATTCAAACTCCTTTGCATCAGCAGCTGTGAGTTTTAAAGATTGCAACCTTCTGGACTTCTTAGCCATCATGTGCAAAACATCAACATTCAAGAACAAAGAGCGCAACCTTTCAGCAACACCTTTTGGAACAGCTTGAAGGTTTTGATCAGACTGAACCCTCATATGCCGAACACTCTCCTCAACTGGATGGGTATCCGGCCAAATATATGTTTAACATTTTGCTGAAAGCAATGCAAGATTATGCACCTCATCATGCATCTTGCAAAACTTTATATTCCCACACCCATCCATATCCACGACTTCCAATAAGTAATTGGATACCAAATCATTGACGTACCTGTTACCAACATCTTCTTCTTTATCAGATTGGCCGTCATTAGATTTGGAAAGAAACCCATTAGCCATCCAACACTGAACTAATTCATCTCTGCTAATTTTAACAATTTTTTCTTTTGGAAAAATTGAACAGAAAGAAAAGCATCTTCTCAAATGCAGAGGCAAGTGATCATAACTTTTTTTCAGTCGAGACAGAATCTCCTGTCTATGTGGTGCATGCCATGCTTTACTATCTCTGATAGCTGACCACTCATTTTCCCCAATACGAGCGCCCAAGTGTTTGCCAAAGACAGCTGCAACTAATGGCAAACCCCCACACTGTTTTGCAATATCTTCTCCAATAAGCAACAACTGTGGATCTTCTATTGAAGTTCTGTTGGACGATCTTCGAACATTCTCCTCCATTATCAACCACTCCTCCATTATCAACCAGCAGGCATCATCTGATAGCTTTTGCAATTCATAGTTGCGCCAAGGAAGTGTGTCCATCATTAGTGAAGCTACCTCTTTATTACTAGTTGTTATGACAACAGAGAACCTAGCAGTTCTGAACCTTCGTGGCAGATATAAGATGAACTCTTTCAACCACTGAGCATCATCTTCATTCCATACACCATCAAGGATAAGAAGAATTTTTTTATTTTCTAACTTTGGTTTAAGATGACAAAGTATTGGACTGATATGTATCATTCCAGCAGCATGGCTATCAAGAGATTCCAACATCTGTCCTAAAATCATCTCTTCGTTAAAATCCTTATGTACCGGCACCCAGGCCACCAGACTAGTTGGTTGCCTTTCCCTTGCCCTCTCACATATTAAACTAGCTAATGCTGTCTTTCCAACACCTGGCATGCCAACTATGGAAAGGCCAGAGAGGCGATGTTCATTGCTCAGCTCATCCAGCAAACTTTCAATTCTTGAGACATCATCATCCCTTTGCAAAACTCTAAAATCATCAGCTTCTAGCCTAGGAGTTTCACGATTTTGCTTTTCATTTTTCAGCTTAATACAATTTGAGTCTCGTACAATTCTATCGAAAGACTCACTAACCTCCTTAATTTTGCTAAGCATGGATTTGGAGGGAAAAACGAAATCGCGCACCTGTTTCTTGACTTGGCTTTGAATCGAACCTTTGTGCCCGTGAGCTCCATATGCATGCTCATTCCAGCAGAACCCGCACATCATCAGCTGCATCTTGGATCCTCTGCAGCCAATCCCTTGTGCGTTCATCACATTGAATTTTCTCTGCATTTTCGAACACAGATTTAATCAGGACATGACAGCTATTAATGGCGCCAGAAATTTAATTATTTTATCTTTTATTAAAAAATTATTATTTGTATTATCGTTCTTCAATGCCTCGTTGCCCTTTTCTGATTAA